TGCTGTCAACTAGAAAATTACACCAAACTGGATAGCATGATATATTTCCCATGATAAATAGAGCCTGAAAAACTCCAATTTGATATCATTCTACACAGGGATTTTCAAATGCAGTTTTCAAGAATCTGCTTCTGTGTACAGTGAATTTCTATGCTACTGAGAGTCAATGGCTGCTTTCACACCAAGAACATGGTAAATGACACATGGCACAGTGATTTCAGACCAAGGTTATATATAGTGCATGTCATTCAGTTCACAAGATGGCATCGTCGGAGGTTACCACTGTTACTGTTGTCCTAATTAAGCCTGTGATAATTATCTATATGTCACGTGGAGGAACAGAGTGGATGACTTTGGGGCAGAATGTGAGGCAGACTTGTTCCAATGCCCTGAACGTACTTGTAAGGAAAAATATTTTGATAATTAAACCATTGAGAATATTTCTATTGTCCAGCTGTTTCAAACATACATTTGTATTTCCCCCTCAGTTTGTACAAACGTTATGTTGGTTGGTTTATTGTATGGAAGAGGCATAGTTGTGCATGAGAGCAGGCATACATCATATTGTTTCCTCATGCAAGACCGAACGTGGTTACCCTCTCAACCAAAACCTCGCTCACTGGGCAAGTAAATCTGTGTTGTAAAATGTGTTTGGGAGAAATCTTTCTAAACACTTCAAAACTACTCCGTGTATGTCGTACATCAAAACATTTTCCTTTTTATATCATATGTTATATGATTTCAACTTTTGTATACTAACTAATAATAACTTTAGATAGAAAAGCTCTATTAAATTCTATTAATAATTTCTAATGGTTACAAACTGAAAAAACAACAAAAAATGGGCAAGTCCAATCTTGGTGTGGCATGCAGGTCGCACATGGCAAATGCTATACGCCATGCCAGATTTATTATCTTCCTTCTCATCTCAGTATTTCTAGGTACAAAAATTAAATAAACACATGCAATGTATGAAGGTATCCACAAGCCGAGGAATTAGTATGCAAACATGCATCACAAAATCTAACATGATCCTTCATATGAAAAAGCATTTTATAAAGTTTAGGTTAAGTAACAATTAGTATCCTTTTACATATATCTAACAAAAATATTTATAATTATTATCAACAAAATTTGTTGTAAGCACTACATAAAAACTAGTTTTCCTTTAATTTACATAACTGGAAGCATCACCTGGATATATCAAGTTATGCATTCCTCATATCTCATTAGGAAACTTGTAATAAATCTGAGTAAAATGCAAAAGCATTCGTAATCTTACTTATAATAGCTTAAAAAAGTATATATACAATTTTCATATCAACTGAAAATTCACATCAAAAGAAAATGCATGTGCTAAGGACTTACAAAAAGTCTAGGAACTCCAATACATACTACAACAAAATAAGTATTCACTTGTAAAACGAAAACAACATTAGGTTCAAAGTATAACGAAGACGATATTAGATTCTAAGTAAAACTAAAACAACATTAGATTCTAAGTAAAACTAAAACAATATTAGATTCTTAAAGACTCTTTTTACACACCTGAAACCTCTCTCTTAAGAGGCCTACCACAAATGTCACTTCTTTTTGTCTGAGACTAGCAAACTGTGGCCCATGGTGATCCTCCAAGATGCGGAGATATGTATAGGCTACTGATGCCACTATCACAGGAAATTTATCTAACCATGGTCTGAAACATATCAAAATCATTAGCAAAATGTACAAAAATATATATACAGTACCAAGAAAACTGTAAATCATGAAAATATTCCCATAAACTCCAATAATTACATCAATATATGAAAATATGACAAGTAAATTAACCAATTAACTTCAAAGTAACTTGTTAAATTAAAGAGAAAAATAAGTAAAACATATTTTAAAAACAACGTTTTATCACTTAACATGGTAGCCTTTGATTTACCTATTTTCTCTAAGTATATCGACCAAACTCTCGGCCAACCACACATTCTTCGGTGACACATCCCCCCCAGCGATTTGCCGAAGGAGACACCAAACGACACCTTCCACATTATTAATGCCTGTCTTGACAAGCTCCCGGACTAGCCACAAAAGTTGTCTTCTTGTGCTCTCCGATAAACGGGAAAATCTCTCACCGATGATCTGGTGTATAAGGGTTTCTGTCACCACTTTCAGGGAGTCTCTGGACACCAGTGTCAGATCATGGTAATGCTGGAAAAATAAAAGGACTTATGACTTATGTTACACTGCATGAAAATAATTACAATAATTGCAAAATTCTACTTTACTGTTTAATGTATATTTACAATAAAAAAGCTAATAATAACACCAACAACAATTATGATAATATATTAATGATGATGATGATAATAATGTCAATAATAATAATAACAACAACAATAACAATAACAATAACAATAATAATAATAATAACAATAATAAAACAACAGCAATGAGTAATAACAATAACAAGAAATAAAATACCATACAGTTTAAATGTTTCATGTAAAAGCTTACGTCGTTAAGACTGGTAATCATGTCTAAGATATTCATTTTTCTCAAATCATGTCAAAAATATTCAATAACCAGATAAAATATTTATGCACGCCTATGCAAATGCATAGACAGATGAGCACATGTGCAAGCAAAAATATACATGCGGGCACAGATGCAAATGCACATTTATATGAACGGAAGCGAAATTCATAGATATAGATATATATTTCTGTAAGCAAGTATTAATCCACATGACTTATGGCACAACAGCAATGGTCAATCTCCCTCCACAGTTTACGATGTAGCAAGAGGCTTGTTGCCATTTGCTTTTTGATAAAAGCAAATGGCACAGCCTATTCTTAACAAATATATATATATAAATATATATAAAAATAATTTTGGGATATGCTTTGATGACAACTACATGTCTGCTACTAGACTGGAACAACAGACTGCCCTGCCAATTCAACTTCAAATAAAGAACCATTCACTGCTCTATCTTGAAAGAATAGATATAACCGAGATTTACTGCTTTTTGCCAAATAAAGCACAGTGATGCAACAATCCATTGGCACTATGCCATTGTTGTTTTAGGTTTCAAGTTGCAAGCCATGTTCAGTTTGGCAGTCACAGTCACTAAAAGAAAGTACATTCATAGGTCACACAACATAACTCTCTTTTCACAGAATTTTACTCACCCGAGGAGCTATAGCTGGGTCAGCTAGAATGCTGACGAGCAGGCCTAAACAAACCTCATCATGCACTTTGCGATCATCTAAGGCTTTGTTTAGAGCGTGATGAGACTCTTCTTCCGTTAAACCACGGGTTAGGTTTATAACACAATTGTACGCCTTATCGAATTTCTGCAAAAGAAAGAAAAAATATGTGTTTCCCTTCTTCAAATGTACGAAGCATTTGGATGTTTAAAAAAATAAAATTCATTACCACTGATAAGTATATTTTGACAGATAGGAAAGATGTATCTATTTACTTCAATATGTTCTCTTGCTATAAAGAAAACAATACTTCTGTTTTAGGTCAATCAGAAAAAGTTGTATTTCCTCGCATCTGCCGCATAAGTACACTAAAAGAGCGAAGTACAAGAAAGACTAAAATCCGTTCTTTTTTCACTGACGGTAAATTACTCACATAATTTTTACACATCAACGAGTTCATTGAAAAAATCCAAATTTCCGAGTTAACATTTTTCATTTGTATTTGACATCATCTACAGATTACAAATGACCTACATTGGCATACGGCCCACAAAACAAAAGTCCCTAGAATGTATATCTCTAAATCTCACGACGAATGCTAGTCCAAAAATTCATAAGACACCAAATGTCAATAAAAAGTATTACATATTCATGATATAATCCACTGTTCTCATTTAACTAGATAATATGACCAACATCATGGAAAAACATCACAGCCTAAGCAGCATGTGTGATACTTGTCACACTTTTTCTTTATAAAATTATAAAAGCTACTCCTATCTTTAATTCTGACAGACAGTAATTAACCCTGTCATTAATTTTAACAGAAGCTAATTAAAACAATGAGATTATCTCCCTTACTGTCTATTAACCCTTCTTGTTTGCTCAATAAAAACACAAGTATGTTTGCAAACAACTTGATAATTTATCATACCTGCAACACACCAAAACCTCAGGAAACGACCTAAAACCAGCCTAAACCCTACCTCTAGCCACAGCCACAGGAGAAAAAAAGAGCCATGAAAAAGCAGTGATAATCATCTAGCTAAATAAACCTTTAAACCTTCCTAATTTCTCTAAATAAACCTCTAAACCTTCCCACAACCCCATTCAAGAGAAGTCTCCCTCCTGTGCACTATTCCCCAGGCCAAACCCCCTCGTATCCGGCCGTGCCATGCCTCCCACGCCCCTCAGACCCTCTCTTTCCCCACAGGTCCCGCCGCCGCCGAGCCCCTGAGCCTCCGAAGGCCCCGAAACCTCAGGGTGAAGGAAGCTGTTGACGCGATCAGCTGTTCGTCGCCGTCGCTGCGCCATGATCATGTGTCCGCCGCCCTCGCTCCCTCGCCGCCCCGCTCGCTCGAACCTTCGTATTACCTCGTCTAGGTCGATCCGGCCTTCGATAACCGACGTCGTGAACAACCGGGATGTGACGGGTCTCTCGGTGGTCATTCTGGGGGCATGCTCGTGCTGGAGGCGCCAGGAAAGAGAGGTCGTTCTCGCCGCAGGGTCCGCAGCCCTCACACCCGCCGCGCAGCCATGGCGCTGGAATACACGGCGGAGGAGGAGGAGGAGGAGGGGGGCGAGGAGGGGGGGCGAGGCGTGCGGCGGCCGGGGGGGGACGTGTCGCTGGCGCTGCTCCCTGTTTATTGCAATGCCGGGCTCTTATGAACATTTTGGGTGGAAGGGCTCTTATGAACCTTTTTATAAACCTTTTGGGTGGAAATTGTAGGGGAAACATGTGGCCGACTGTACTTTGGGGTTGTACTCCGTGTTTGTTAGAATGACGGCCGTCTAAATGCGTTTAGGATGAAATTTTGAGGAAAACGTGTAGCTTAGCTGTACTCCTGGGCTTGTACTCTTTCTTTATTAGGATGGTGGGATTGTAAAAATTCATCATGATATTATTATGAGTTTGTGAATGGCGGAGGTGAGACCTGTAGCAGCCATCACACCCACCGCGGGATATTGGGCGAATAAAATGTGTTGTTCGCTGTACTCTTTCTTTATTATACTTTACTCCATTGTTATTTACAAAGGAGGGCTCTTTACATCTCTGAGAGAGTATTTTTGAATTAATGAAGCATTGTGACACATTTTTTATTGCACAAGCGCGACTAGAAATAAATGATATTCTATTAATACCTATACCAGTCTTTCAGTCTTTTTTATTTTTAATTAACTGTCAACTGCAGTATGTTACTCTAGAATACATGGTATAAATAACTGTTTATTTTGCTGAATTCTTTAAGCTAAAAAAAAAATATTTGTAAAAAGGAGCACATGACTCTACCTGCAAGAGCTACTTCAACCTTCAGTTACCCGTTGTTCAGGGAAGAGGTCGGGTGTGCGCGTTCTTGCTCCACACTTTTTTTTCCTTTTTTTTGTCATTCTGATTTCAATGGCTGGTACTATTATTTGTGTTCTTTTAAAATGTTTACATCGAACACATCAATTTGTTGTTGATTAACTTTCCACAATTGGATTATCATTTAGATTAAACTTTAATCTGATTTCTTTTTCCGGGGGGGGGGGGTGAATTGCATGCTACGTAGCACATCATAGACAAGTTGCAGCCGTCCAGACATTTGTTGCTTGCTTGTTCATCTGTCTGTCACAACTTTAATTTAATAGCCTCTTCATCTATTGACCGAAGAGAAAAGGTTAAAACCCTCGCTAGTAGGCCCCGACGTCACGCTAAGCTGTCTCCTTAACGTTCTAACACAGCCGGTGTTTCTTACTTCGACTAATGCTGCATTATAGGTGTGTCGTGTCCGTAATTTATGAATTTTTTCAATTCCTTGCACTTCGATGCGGTTTCATTAACGGTATCCAATTAAGCTGCAATGAGAGCCGCAAGTTTTTTTTTTTTTTTTTTTTTTTAATCTAAATACTTTGTTTTATGGCAGGTTACACACACGCACGTGCACAGATACACGCATTTATATATACATACATACATACATACACATACATATACATATACAGAAGTATATATATTCATATATATATGTACATACACACACACACACACACACACACACACACACACACACACATATATATATATATATATATATATATATATATATATATATATATATATATATACACACATATATGTATATTTATATCTATATATATATTTATTTAATATATGTATACACACACGCACACACACACATATTATAGTATATATATATATATATATATATATATATATATATATATATATATATATATATATATGTATGTGTACACATACACACATATACATATATCATGTACACATATATGTATGTATTTATATATATACATATATATACATATACATATATATGTATATACATATACATATACATATATATGTATATACATAAACATATATATGTATATATTTATGCATATACACATATGTATATATATATACATATACCTACATATATGAATGTATATATATATATATATATATATATATATATATATATATATATATATATATATATGCATGTATATATATTGTGTATATATATTTATATATGTGTATACATATATATATACATATATGTATACATATATATGTGCGTGCGTGCGTGCATATACATGTGTATGTGTATATGTACATATGTGTGTGTGTTTACATACATACATGTGTGTTTACATACATACATGTGTGTGTGTGTGTGTAATGTCACTGGGTACACATCCTCCTTCGATGCAAGCTAGATGGGAGTTTCACAAAGAGGCCGACATAAGCATAAGCCTTTTACAGTTCTTTCATTGCATTTAAATTCATAGGATTGAGGAAGATATGTCTGCCTTGATGTAGGCATTCTTTGCTACCTACTTTCTTAAGAGAGGAAAGATCTAGAAGTATCATACCGGTCCCCGAGCCGCGTGGATGACCTGAGGTAGCAGAGGAATCCAATGATATCCATATTCATCTTCCATTGAGATTAAGTGATTGAATGTATACGTATAGGGAAGTATTTAACTTGGCACCCTATGCTAGGCCTTATGCTTAACTGAGTGTTTACTTCAAGAATGAGGCGGAAAGTACGGGTGGTGTGTTTATGATCATGTTTGTTTGTTTGCTGTTTTCCTCCCAAATAGCCCATCTGCTCAACCACGCGTCTAATGTAAATAAAAACAATAAGCATAGTAAGGTCATTAGTTATAATGATTGAAGAATATCCGAGACATGTTCATGACGGTGTGCCCGTTCATAAAAACATGCAAAGCTTCTTTATGAAAAAAATATACGTTTACATTTGCGCCAAGGACATTATTTGCATTCATTACTCATCTTTCGCTCTGTAGATATGAAGGAGATTAGGACTGCAACAACTCTTATTTTTCTCTCTCATTTTTCACCGTAAAAGTTATCAAAATGAACTAATTTACTCTCTTGTTTATCATTTAATCATGCAAAGTGCTCGTGAACTCAAAGAGGAAATGACTTTCAATAAAGTAGTGCATAAAGCGAATTTTGAATTTTGAGAAGGGGGGAGGGGGAGGGGGGTAGAGAACAGGCTCGAACTAAGCTCAAGTATCTATGAATATCATAACCTTTTTCATACTTTATACGCCATTAGATGCATCTGCAATAAACACGTAAGATTTGCCGGAAACGCAACAAAATATGTGCAAAAAAATCAGAATGTGCCTTGATATTATGAATACAGCATATTCTGTTCCGGTATTTTGTTATTTTTGTTATAATTATCCTTGTTTTTAAAGTTATGTGATGACTGTCGACATTATCAGCACTCGGATTTTTCTGTTGTTAGATGTGCCTCTAGCAGATTTGTTAACATTATTTTGATTCATTTTTATATTGCTATTTTAATTTTGTAAGCATGGGTTTTATTGTAAATGTTATATTTATTATCATTATCATCAGTAGTAGTAACAGAGAAGTTAGTAGTAGTAGTAATAGTTGTTATAACAGCGAAGTAGTTGTAGCAGTAGTAGCTATAGCAGTAATAGTAGTTGCTGTTGCAGCAGCGGAGTAGTTGTATCAGTAGTAGCTATAGTAGTAGTAGTAGTAATATCAGTGGTAATAATAGTAGTGGTGGTGGTAGAGTTAACAGAAGTAGTAGTAGTTGTGGTAGTAGTGTTGGTGGTGTCAGCAGTAATAGTGACTGTTACTATAATTATTAATGTTAGTGTAGTATTTAGTATTGATTGATACTTGTAATGTATGTCTTTAATGGCTACTAAAACTATCATCATTATGTGTGAGTTGATAATGTTGGTAACTGCCATTACCTTTCTTTTTTGTATTAGCATCATCATCATTAGTAGTAAAGATAAGACCATTCAACTTTGTTATAAGAACAAGCAGAAGGGAGACAAACAGACGTGTTCATTTATTATGTCGATCAAACCCAGTCATTACATGCATATTGGAAATCATTACCGGAGCTTTATCGACTTCGGGTCAGGGATTATCATACATTATTCAGATCGGCTACGAGTCATGTCTTCCGGATTTCGAAAGGTGTATTGCAAACGTGGACAAAATTTTCTCGGCGTCGGAATTTACACAGTGACTTCGGCAGAGCGTGAGGGGACTGTTTTTTTTTCTCTCTCTTTTCTTTATTTATTTATGGTAACTGTTATTTTTCTTCTTTAATTTGTGTATCGAATAGCGTGGTGTACTGTGGTTTTCTCTGCCCTTTTATGCACGTTAATGAACACGTACCTCCGGAAATTCCGCAGAAAATACTGATACACTGGTTTAAACTACCTTTTATTTTGTCCATAAAACCTACGTTAATCTCGTCCCAGATAGGATGCCTGTGGGTATTAGACCTGAGTATAATGGCAGTAATATGGCTTGCTGATCCTAGTGTGAAAATTCATGATCGGGAAAGATGACGCCTGAGCTGATGCAGAGAATGATTCGGTTTGATATCACGAACTCCCTCGCAAGAGCTAAGATGGTGCCTTCTTCAGGAGGACTTTTGGTTTTGGCAGTGGCAGACCGTTGCCCTGCGCGGATGCCCTTCCCTACCTCGGATCTAGGTAGGATTCGAACTAACGGGCTGGGTGACCTGCCAACAAACTTGTATCCCTTTACCTACAGCCAGTACCATCATCTGCATTTCTTCCTGCGCGCATAACTATTCATGATCCATCGCTATCGCCGTGGCATTCTGTAGTCTACCCTTCACCCCCTCCCCCCCTCTCTCTCTCTCGCTGCCTTCACTACATATCCACCACAATACAGCCACTTTCACCACGTATTCAAAGTGTATTGCCCCTCCACCCAGCATAAATAGCACTTCCTCCCGCCAAAAACCATTAAGAAAGCTCACCTCCCATCACGAAAAAAAACACTAATAACAGATATCCCTTGACTTACAGGGAGAAAAAAGAAGAAATACAATCACATATCCAGCTACCCTTCTCCGCCCCCCCCCCCAATCTCCCACTGCCACGTGAGACTGACAAACCGCCTGACCACGGTGGAAGTATTGATGTAAGTATGTACTGTGTAGGTGATACCCGTAGTTCATCGTTGAGGGAACT